TAATTTTCAAAAAACATTATTAAAGACAAAAAAAATTAAAAAAAAATTGTGATTTTTTTAGTTGTATGCCAAACTCATTCTAAATAAACAAACAGAAATGTTAGAAATCCAAAAAAATTACTAAAAAGGTGGCTCAAAGGTGCACTTTTTGTGTAAATTTTTTTATAATTTTTTTAAAGATTCCTAATATGGCTCTAAACAAATAATTAGGACAAAGTCGGGAAGATGGGAAAAAAGGTGGCTTAACCATACCCTAAAGACGGAAAATTCTATTTTTACCTATCAAATTATTTATGTGTATATTTTTTCTTAACCCACACATTGTAATTTAATTTTTACTTTTTTATTTTAGTTCATACACTTCACATTTTAAATATACCCGTTCCATCCTTTAATGTCCCTTTGCCCTTTTCTTCTTTCACTTTTCCTTCTCTCTCCTCCTTCCCTCTTCAAAATATTTAGAGCCACTAGGTTTGCTTCAATGGCAGACCAAACCCACTTCGAATTTCAGAAAACCCAGTTACAAAATGACCCAAAAATTGCAATAAATTACACAGTGCCATTGTCTCCGCCATTGCCAGCCGTGTCCAAGCAAATGGAGTTGAGCAGAGCCATGGAAGCTTCTTCGAAATCGAACCTTTTCTCTCTCTCTCTAGAAGTGACATGATCTTCGAGGATGAGTGGATCATTGTTATGAATAAGCCTCGTGGGTGTATTGTGAGACCGTCTTGTATTTCTTTTGTTTAACTTTTGGAAGATTAATTGTTTAAATTTTATTTTCAGACCAAAGTCGGCCGATTAAAGAAATTATACAATCTGGTGTTGTGCCTTGCTTTGTATGATTGAGGTTTGGGCATGGGAGGCGATGGTCGGTGGTGGCCGGCGGTGAAGTGACTGGTGAGACGGTGGTGGATGAAATATGTATAGAGAAATTATAAGATCTGTGTGTGAGATTGCGGTGGATGAGATGGTAATTTTGTAAAGGAAAAAAATTATGATTCTAAAAAATTTTATTAAGCGTGTAGAGTAAGAAAATTTGATGCGAGAAAATAGAATTTTTTTTCAAAAAACAAAACAGATTAAAATCAACTAAGAATTTAGTATAGTTTTTAAAAAATAATAATAAATCCGTATAATTTTTATAAATATTAATAATTAAAATTGTAATTTTTTTTAGGGCAAATTACATATACCCCTCGAGGTTTGGCTAAATTACAGATACCTTTGAGGTTTCGAAAATTACATTCCGCTCCCTGAAGTTTGTATTTCCATAACAATTTGTCCCCTGAGCTTTATATTTCATAACAAATTACCCCCTAATTTCTTATGCAAATATAGCATTCAGGAGGGAATTCGTAATTTCTCAAACCTTAAGGAGTATCTGTAATTTAGCCAAATTTCGAGAGGTATATATAATTTGCCCTTTTTTTTAATGTCTATTTATTTTGTGAAATAGATCGCATGTACACCATCAGTGATTCAGTACGAAGCAAAAAACGACAACGCCCTATTTCTGCGGGCCACGTGTCCATCTCTCAACTCCTTTCATAGACCCATGTACAGCAAGCTCTCCCACCCCCACCCCAAGCAAAAAACGACAACTCCTTTTATTTTTGGTTTTAGAGGCAGCAGCAGAACAGTAATGGGAAAGTTTAAAAAAATGGGATATTTATTAATAAATCTCATCTTACAAATAAATATTTTAACTAGTTTTAAATTGTTTTTGTTTTAATTTATTAAGGTTTATTGGTAGAGAGTTTTGTTTTTTGTGATCTTATTTTTAATTTGATAGTGTTTTAGTGGACAATTACACCATTTTATTAATGTGATAAATATGATGTGACATTTCAAAAAAATTAAAAATTCTTTAATATGTTTTTTTCTAAATGTAACAATATGGTTGGTAAATGTAATACTCTTAAAAAATTAAAAGCTCTTTAGTGTACTTTTATCAAATGTAATATGTGATACTCCAACGTGACAGATATGATGTGACACTAAAAAAAAATTAAAAATTCTTTAATATACTTTTCTTAAATGTGATGATGTGACTGGCATGATGCAATAACTAAAAATTCTTTAGTGTACTTTTTCTAAATATGACGATGTGGCATGTATGCTGTGACATTTCAAAAAAACTACGTAAGTGTTTGACATGTCCTAAAAAAGTGTATTTTTTTTTGTATACATGCGCTTATTGGGGTCACATCAATCAATATCTATCAACATCTCTTTTCTACTTTTCTATCAACTTTCTCTATTTTTCTACACATTTTTTTTTATATAAAAAATCAAAAAGTGCACTTATTTAGAACATCCCAAACCACTTACTCCAAAAAAATAAAAACTCGTTCATGTACTTTTTTCAAATGTGACAACGTGACATATATGATATAATACTCTAAAAAAATTAAAAACTCATTAATATACTTTTTTTCAAATGTGATACTCTAATGTAACGGGTATGATGTGATACTAAAAAAATTCTTAACATACTTTTTTCACATATAACACTCCATTGTGGCGGACAAATGAGTCATTACATATCCAAAAGGACTAAATGAATCACCAAAAAAAAAAAATATGAAACTATATAGATGACTAATTCAAAATATAAGACTTATTGCTCAATTTATGTATGAAAATGTTTCTAGTGCAATTCTAACCCACATCAAATGCATAACAAACTTGCACTCCATAAAAATGAAAAAAATAAAAATAAAAATAAAAATCACTATGCCCCTTATTTGAGATTTTTGCTTATTATTAACACCGATTTAATTTCATATTTATTTTTACATTCTGCTAAAGACAGTGTGACGAGTTATCATTCAATTTGGAGATAATAGAAAAAAATTAGAATCTCCATTCATTTTTTCCCCCCCACATATTTTAAAATATTTTTATCTAATTTCTAAATTTTTTTCATATATTTTGTATATATATTGAATTATTGAGTAGTCATTAGCATTTTCATTATTTTTTGTTGTCTTGCTAAACAATTTTATTTTTGCAAATCAACAACCTTTCTATTTTATTTGTTTATTTATTTATTTTTATAAAGATAGTTTCACACAATTGTACAGGTTCTCGTTAACGATTTGATAGTACTAATTTGAGCCACGAAGATAATCTTTTCATAAACAAAGATAAGATTACGTACATGTATCTTATCCTCCATGAACCTTATTTTGGTGAAAACATTATGACACAAAATTACCTTTAGTTGATTTATAATATCCTTATACATTCAAGTATCATCCTATAATTAGTTGTAATCCACTAAGCAATTATATCAAGCACTACATGTTAGTTTTATGATTATACTCAAGTCATGGAGCAAAAGTGAAAGAATGTCTTATGTAAAAATATTTAAAAACAAGAGTGCCTCTAAAGCATATATGCCTATATATAATAATGATAATAGTTTTATTATTATTTATTTATTTTGGACAAAACATGCATATGTTCTAGACAACCTAATGTTATGTATTAGCTAGTCTTTCAAAGAAAAGTGTTTACTTTAAAGTCATTTAAAAGATATGTGCTAGTTTTACTTCTCTTTCTCACTTTTATATTTTCTATCTATTGTTTGTTCCATTATTGTTTATACCATCGCCTTATAGTGCCATTTTCATCTATTTTCTTGTATTTATTATATCAATACATTGAATAATTAGTTTATGTGTGATGAAAAGTGTCAAATAAAACTTAATTAGATCGTCTTTATATGTTGAAGATTCATACTAACAACCAATGTTGTTAAGGTGAAAAAAAAAATGTCAAAATAGAATTATGAGATACTTTCACACAATTTCGAACACTTTCCTCGAGCCCATTGAGACTAATGACCACCTCTTAGGCATTGACATTTCCCTTTATTAAATTACAACTTTGTCCGATACGAACTAAGTAGTGCTACTTGTCACAATTATTATTATTATTATTATTATTTTAAAAGCCTTCTTTCAAGTTTTATGTTCTCTTGTTCATTCGACAACTCTTAATTTATGCTTTTAAGATAACTTGGAACATTTACATGATTGAGCTTTTCCATTCTTTTGGGTTCTTAGTGCATCCAAAAGGTATTATTGTTTAGTAATTTTCAACAATAAGCATATAGGCCAGTTCAATTTTATAAATGAATGTGACTAAGAATGAACAAGTGGAAGCATTCACCAAAAAAGTTTAGGTAAGAACAAGATAAGCAAAAAAAAGAAGTCATAGATCAATGAATACATAAAGAAAGGTTTGAGTATTGTTTAATATCCAATGAGAAAGGTGCACACAATTAAGATCACTAACAATGATAATTGGTTGAGTTAAAGGCGCCGTAAGAATAACATGCAGGAGAAAATAAATATCCATATTATAGATTTAACCAAAGCAAATTAATTTGAATAGCAAAAGAGAACCATTTTGCCTCAAATAGGTCAGGCTTAAAGTTTATCGAGTCAAATCTAGTAATCGACATAATTAAAAAGGAACATCAAACCTATTGAACCTTATTTATGTATAATGTTTTAAGAGTCAGTTGCGGCTCAAACCTTGATGCACAAAAAAAAAAAAAAAAAAAAAACAATAACAACGACAATCAAGCCAATCGTTGTTTTCATTAGGAGGAAATAACAGCAATAATACTTAAAAGTTTTGCTTAAGTTCTAGTGGACTAGTTTGTAATATTCCAAGTCTCTTTGCATTCAATCGCAACATAGTTTAATTCAATGTAACCCAAGGAGAGATTAAAATAATTTTTTTAACCATGATGAAAAAATGAAGAAACTGTCAAGTTTTCAATGCTTTTCATTATGTAATTGTTGACTTTTTTGACTTTCGAAGGTTAGTTATGTAATTTAAAATGTGTCAGCAAGGATTAATAAGTCCTTATAGAATTTTAATTGCCAACCAACTATCAGACGATTGTGTTAAAATTCTTTTAGCCTTAATGAAGAAGACTTTTACTAGTAATTTTTTATGAGAAACTTATAAATGATCACAGATACCAAATAATTTAGAAATTAAATTTCATTAAGTAAATAAGAACTTACAATGAAATGACCCAATCTTGAAAAGGTTTACAACAACGACTACTTGAAACTACTTTTAGAAAATAAAATGCAGTACTGGAAGTAAAGAACTGGAAATGCAATGACTGGAAAGAAAAATATGAAGTAAACAATTGGCTTTTGGATTTTAGTCTGGGTTCTTCTATTGGCCTTCTCTTCTATTTATACTCTCCAATGGTAACCGTTGAAGTAGACTTCTAACTATCGAAATGCCCTTCCACGATCATTGGTTATGGCCCTGAATAATCTGCTCCCACGACGCCTTCTTTGCAGTTGGGGTTCCCTCTTGAATTTGAATTGTGAATAACCGTTGGTTCACGTCATCTCGGGCCTTCTAACTGCTTCCATGCGACGTAGACCCACCATTACCAATATGAATTGTCACGTGTTTGTCACTGACTAAAGACTTGTATTAACTCTCGAAATCATCCTTTACGTGTCATGTGTTAAGCAACGATTGACTGATACAAAATATATAGTCAACAATAATTAAGCTTATCTAGTGAAATGTGCACTAGCTTTAGACTTTCAATGATCACAAGACTTTGATTCTTAACTTTTGACCAATTTGATCAGGACGCCCACAAAAAGAAAATGGTTTGATTATTGTAATACTAAAAATGTTGACTTAACGTAGACTCGGCTCTAAGATGTACGACTTGCTGATAATCTGGGTTATTGTCACGACTTTCCCTAATCTACTAGGAGAAAGTTTCGATAAAACCGAGGAAAAAGAGACCAAAAGAAACACATACACCAACTACAAATCTACAATGATTGTAGGCCAAGTTTTTCTTTAATCTTATTGATGTTACTTCCCAGTTGATATATGATATATATATATACACACATATAAACAATGCTCAATTAGTACACATTAATGTGTGTTTGGAAACAGAAAGAATAGGTACACTTAATATTTGGCATAGTGCACCAAATAGTTGTCCCGCGATTTAAACCCATAACCTCAGGATTTTGTGATCACATATATATAATCACAAAATTGTATGTGCATTGTTTTGTTGAATACAGATCATGTTCATATCTACAAGAGCCACTTGATGAAAATCAGCAAAGTTATTGAATGAATATGGAATACATGGGTGGACAATCAAAGATTAAATATGGGGTAATATAGAATATGCCAAAGATATGAGGCTATATTTGAAAAACTCTCTGTATGAAGAAATGAGACTTTCCTTGGTATGGGATGGGCGAAATGCAAATGGAAATGAATTTTGGTTTGGCACAAAAACACCAAAATATTAGCATGCATCGGCTTAGACAACTATCACTGGTCATAGCCTTAACCTATGACAGTATGAAAGCAAGTGCAGATGCAGACATGTATATATATATATATATAGAGAGAGAGAGAGAGAGAGAGAGAGAGAATCCAAGCAACATGGGTCTATAGATAAAAGGTCTCAAAGAAAGAACAAATATGTGAACATGTCAAAAAAACTAGGGCTACACTAGTGAAAGAACCTTATATACCTATACTATATTATAATGTGAACACCGCAGTTGGTGTGAACCCAAAAATGAAGTTATGTAAAACTTTTTCCTATTCCAAAATATCACCAAAAAAAATATATTTTCACCATCCAAATGCTCGTCCCCACTAACTGCAAAGGGTAAAATAGGAAAAATCAATGATTAACTCATATGGTAAGTGCTGAGTTTTTAATCTCTGCACTATATGACTCTCTCTTTGCAACCAAGGGTTGTAAACATGGTAGAATCCCACACGTATAATGTGTTCACCGACCACTTATCTATATACATAGCCAATAGATTAAAAACGATATATATATATATATATATATTTAGAGAGCAAGAATCAGGAAAAGAAAAGTTAGGATAACAAGGGAGTGGACAGCAAATATAATGCGCACCTAATATTAAGAAGCCAAGAGACCCAGAAAAGTCTGGCTCCACCATGTATCAGACCCTCTATCTCAGTGCTCTGCAAAAAAAATATAATTTTATGGACAGAAATTGGAATCCAATTGATGGCTACTTCCTTTAATCATTTCTCTCTCTCTCTCTTATTCATTCTAAAATAATAACAGATAAAATAAAATAAAAAAAAAGCAACAGAGAATATTAAAGTGGAAGACTTTGCTTAGCATCTAACTTCATACACCTTTTAAATGAATATTAGAAAGATTTTAAATGAATATTAGAAAGAAAAAAAAGAAGAAGATAATAATAGCATGCAATGATACAATGGTCATATCGGATTTAGCAAACGAGTGTTGAAAACTACAGTTAAAAAACACCAACATTCTTTAGAAGGAATATAAGTATCAGTTGGTTTTACAAGGAAAAGCACCACTGCTTTCACTTTTGTTTACTCAAATCTTTAGACTCAATTCAATTCACCCCTTAGCTTTCTTTCACAAGCCTGTGGTTTTCTCTTTCTACATGTCATTTTTCTATGACTAACTGTGAAGCATAAATTCTCCAACCGACGAAAACACAGATATTCCATGCCTTATAACTGAAAATCGACCAAGTGCACCAGTAAGTTTATCCTCTCCGTTCCTTTTTTAATTAAAACGGATTCATGAATAGAAACTAAAATCCAACTCTCAAAAAGAGCTTTCTCACAAGATTCCCTTATGTGACTAACAAAGTTAATATAATGTCCTACAAAAAAGGCAGCCTAGTGCACAAGACTCAAGCTAAAACGGGGTCTATATAGAGAGACTGATTTTGCGTAATATACTAACGTCATAACAAAAACAAAAACAAAAACACGAAGAAATTGATCTGTATGCATGCCATTTTGTCAATACTTTTCATAGTGATTGATAAATAATTATTGCAGAGATATGATAAATTTCTTTTTCGATTTTCCACACAGGTTCACTTTCTTAAGGGGGTGACCTTGATTACAACAGAGGGTCGTCTTCACTTCCACACCCTGATAATAAATAAATAAATATTAGAAAGGAGAACTAAGGCATTAAATAAAATCTATGGTTCTAAATTTTTGTAAAAGCACCTTAATTACCTTAATTAATAGTTTTTTTGAATGGCCCCTATCTTTGGTATTTTCATCTATGCAGTGCCATTTTTCACATTAATCTTACTCCCAATTTTCACCAACAAGAAATGAACTCCCATTTTGTTTTTTTGTTTCTAAATCAAATCATCTTCTTTAAATTTTTATTCCCCATTTGGGTTTTATTTTGCTCCAAATTCATAAATTTTCTTTGTTTAAGATAGAAATCTCCGGTAAGAAAAGCACTTTGCTTTTTGTACTTTACCTTACACTGTTTTTCATGACCTAGTGTAGTGAACATTTAAACAAAAACTGGTCATATTTAGAATAGACCTATTGCCAAAACCACACATTCAAGAGAGTTGAAATAATCCGATCCAAATCAGCGGCCTACAATACAGAAAGTTCAAATAATCAGATTTGAACCTTCGACGAAATTAATCTCACAAGGCAAGGTTTAATTGGAGCATTCAATCTACATAACAAGATTTTGAATCAAGCTCTCTGTACAATTAAAGGGGTTATGAAAAAACGCAATTAAAATAACTAAAAAAAAAAAAAAAAGGTTTCTTTTTGGGTGGTAATTAAAAAAGAAAAATTAAGCACAATAGCAAAGAACAAGAATATACATAAATATATATAACGTGATCATGCGTTTGTTTAAAGGCCATACTAAAATCCAAATAATAAGATGATCGGAATGAGAAAGTGGGGAGCACTATTATTGACTATTATGCAGTACCAAAAATGCAATCTTTTCTAATTTCAAATGTCAAAAACGTATGTCCATGGCATATACACAGCACACATGTTCAAAATAACAATAATACCAACACAACAAAACGTGTCTGTGAGCCCAAGATTATAGGATATTACTGTATTTAGTTTTGTGGTGTTCCCACTTGCTTCATGAATCATGATCAAGGTACTTAGCATTCAAGATGGTGGTTTTCATGCACAGTAGTGATTATAGCCAACCTTTTAGAATTATATTGATCAGTGGCATTGTTCTCATTTCTCACCACTTGTTGGATTTAAGCTGCATGATGATCCATGCACCCAACCGAGTCACAGTAAGGAGATTGAAAATAAATTTATAGGGAGAACAGCATCACACAATGACAGACACACAAACACAGAGAGAGAGAGAGAGAGAGGGAGAGATGATGCCAATCTGAAAACGGAAGAGGAACTCAGAAAGATATTGGTATAAATGTTGAACTAGAGTTAGTGTTAGAATTCATTAAGGATGTGTTTGGGCTATTAAAAACAAAAACAAAAAAATTAAAGTTGTGTTTGGATCATAGATTTGGATAGAAATTTAGAAAGAGGGAGTAGAAGATGAGGAAAATGTGAATGAAATATAAGTTAAATTTCTCTATTTCTCATACCTCCCCCTCCTTTTTTTTTTAAAAATTCCTACTCAAATCTATTTGCCAAACACAATCTAAAAAGGTGAGAACCCACCACGGAGGCTAGGCCTACATCGTAGAACCTTTAACACCCGAGATATCCTCGTTAGTGTCTGTGTGTGTTTATATATTTGTGTTGTCCATTACTCTTGGGAAGCCAACTAAAAGCAACTGCCTAACTTCTCTCTCTATCCGCCCCCCATCCAACAAATTACAAACCAACACACTACAACCAAAAACAGCAACAACATCAGTTCAACTTGACCATGCAAATCCACTGTCTAGTCCCAAAACCAGAAAATAGCAGCAGTGTCTCCATGGCAGATCTGTCTAATGTGTCAGAACCCTGTAACACATTGGAACCCAATCACACGCCTGTCCTTGCTTACCCTGTTCAGGCCAATTCACAATCCCTTGTACAACAGACCTTATACTCCATTACTTTAAAGGTCTCTCTGTCTCTCTCTCTCTCACACACACACACACACACACACACACAACAGAGATTGAAAATATTAATCTAGTTTTACTCGTTATACTAGACTACCATAAGGAATCAAACATCTCATTTTTTGGTCGTACAATGTTTTGCAAATATAAATTGTCTTTCTCATGTACGGTGTACTAGTGCTGATTTTCTGATTTCTTTCCAGTTTCAAGAGGTGATTTACAAAGTTAGATTGGAGCAGACAGGATTATGTTGTGGTGGGATATCAAGCTCTGTGGAGAAGACGATACTAAACGGGGTGACGGGTATGGTTTTTCCAGGGGAGATACTAGCGATGCTTGGCCCCTCAGGCAGTGGAAAAACCACTCTCCTTACAGCCCTTGGAGGTCGTCTTACCGGTAAGCTATCGGGCAAGATCACATACAACGGTCAGCCTTTTTCTGGTTCCATCAAACGCAGAACAGGGTTTGTCGCACAATATGATGTCTTGTACCCTCATCTCACTGTAACCGAAACTCTCCTATTCACTGCACTGCTAAGGCTACCCAGTACCTTGACCAGAGATGAAAAAGTTCAGCATGTGGAGCGAGTTATCTCCGAGTTGGGATTAACTCGGTGCCAGAACAGCATGATAGGAGGGCCATTGTTTAGAGGGATATCAGGCGGGGAGAAGAAGAGGGTGAGCATAGGCCAAGAAATGCTAATTAACCCAAGCTTACTATTGCTAGATGAACCGACCTCAGGTTTGGACTCAACCACGGCTCAGCGGATCCTGACCACAATCAAACGCCTTGCTAGTGAGGGTAGAACTGTGATCACCACAATTCACCAACCCTCAAGCCGACTATACCACATGTTTGATAAGGTAGTCTTGCTCTCCGAAGGCTACCCCATCTACTACGGCCTTGCATCAACTGCTTTGGAATACTTTTCCTCAATTGGTTTTTCCACATCCATCACAATCAATCCGGCTGATCTCTTGCTTGACCTTGCCAATGGTAATTTCAAATTTTATTTTCTAATTTCTTGCCAGAAATTTACTTCTTTTTATGTTGCTTCAAGAAATTTTAAGTGGAGAGGCCATATGAGCAGATTAACTGTCCTCTATCGACCAATTATTCCATCCTTTTCTTTTGTTTCCGTTCACATGAGATATAGATATCAGAGGGCCTACTGAAAGTAGTGGTTACAGTTCTATCTTAAATTATATTAAAGCAGTATAATGAGACCCCACGCAACAAACTTTCCAATGTTCAGCTTAGTATATAAAAGCGAAGTTTAGGGTCATCTGCTACTCTCATTAAGCATAATTTGTACTAAAAACTAACATTTCACAGACCAGAAACATAAGAACATAGTTATGTACTACAAGTTGGAATATATATTGTAGTGGCTACCATATGCTAACTTATTACATCTTTTATTAAGAAACAAAATGATATCGGAAATTACATTTACATTCTCATGAATATAGTGAAAAACAAAAATTTACAGGAATTGGACCTGTTGACAAGCATACAATTGAGCAAGGAGATAGTACAGAACAAGAGCAGAAGTTAGTGAGGGATGTTCTCATCTCTGCTTATGACAAGAACATTTCCCCCAGATTGAAAGCCGAATTATGCAGTTTGGAAGTCAATAACTACAATTACACAAAAGATGCATCCCCTAGTAAGTCAAATGCTTTCATAATCCCTCAACTTTTATAGTAAGAGAAGCAGCATGTTAGTTTCAAATGTCTCCTCTGTTCTACTCATTTTCCTAATTTTTTTACTAGTCTCAAGTGTCTTTTGGTTTTGAAATGATGCAGGAAAAAATGTGAAGTCAGAGCAATGGTGTACAAGTTGGTGGCATCAATTCAAGGTGCTGATTATGAGGGGGCTGAGGGAGCGGAGATATGAAGCCTTCAACAAGCTAAGAATCTTCCAAGTCATAAGTGTTGCTATACTTGGTGGACTCCTTTGGTGGCACACGCCGACATCCCACATTGAAGATCGTGTAAGAATTTTGCATACACATACACTATTTCTATAAAAAAATATGAAAGGGTTACTTACATTAAAGCTATGTTTGGATCTTGCATATGTGGAGAAATTTGTGGAGGGAAAAGAAATTTGCACACTTTTCCCTTGTCTTTTCCTTTCCTTCCACAAATCCCTTCTCAAATCTAAGATCCAAACACAGACATAATGTGGTAGGTGAGCTAAGGGTAGCCTAGTGTGTAAGCACAGCAATGAACCACAGCGAACCCTCAGACGGCCTATCTAAGGTTAGGGGGGGAGATCCTCAATAGTGGTGATCCCTTCACTCTTCTTTGGATTGATATATGTACCAAATGCTCGTATGGGAAAGTTGACTCCTGGGTTTGGAACCTGGGGTGTCACTCCGAGGAATACTTTCTTTCTCATCCACTTGAAAATTTATGACTAGTTTAGACATTTCACTTCAATATCGCACCACTTCAAAATTTTCCATGAGCAGAAAATCAATAATTCCTCCCATATCATTTCTCAAACTTAAAAACTTTGGGAAAGCTTTCAAGGAAAAGATAAAATACAGAAAAGAAAACAAAAGTAAAGGATCACTTAGAAGATCCATTGTTGTTTTAAACAGGGCAGGAACTGTCTTATGTCATTAAGTTTAGAATCTTGATTTCGTGTGGATGCTAAACAAGGGTTTTTTCCTGACTACAGATTGCCATGCTTTTCTTCTTCTCCGTGTTCTGGGGCTTCTACCCTTTATACAATGCTGTTTTCACATTTCCCCAAGAAAGATCTATGCTAATGAAGGAACGTTCATCTGGAATGTATCGCCTCTCCTCCTACTTCTTAGCCAGAACCTTTGGAGACTTGCCACTGGAGCTCGCACTTCCAACTGCATTTACCTTCATAATCTATTGGATGGGTGGGCTCAAGCCCAATCCTGTCACTTTCATCCTTTCCCTTCTTGTTGTCCTTTACAATGTCCTTGTTGCACAAAGTCTTGGTTTAGCTATTGGTGCAATACTCATGGATGTTAAACAAGCCACTACTTTAGCCTCAGTTACAACCCTTGTCTTCCTCATTGCTGGGGGGTATTATATTCAACAAATCCCTCCTTTCATAGTCTGGTTAAAGTACTTGAGCTACAGCTACTATTGTTACAAGCTCCTTCTCGGGGTTCAGTACACCGAGGATGATTATTACGAGTGCACAAAAGGAGTCTATTGCCGGGTTGCAGATTTTCCTGCTGTCAGATCAGTTGGTCTGAACAATTTGTGGATAGATGTGTTCATAATGGCCCTGATGTTGGTGGCTTATCGGCTTGTTGCTTATCTAGCCTTGCACCGTGTGCGGTGAAGTAAGATTTGCAGGGGAGAGGGGAGAGAAGATGAAGTTTCACAGCTGACAATTTCGTCAAAGAACACACTATGAAGAGTTTTCTATTTCTTCAACTGAGGAATAATGTTAGATTTAGACGAAAATCATGTTGCCAGTTTTGATTCCCAACTAGTTATGTACCACCCTTTGGGTGATAGTCAAGATAATACTAACTGGGATATTTTACTTCCCTTCAGACTTCAGAATAATTTTATGACATTATTATTTGGTCAATATGCATTTCCCATTTTAAGAAAAAGGAAAGAGTAAAAAACAAACCTTGAAGTCACCATCCTTCTGAAGGACTAGATTCTGGATGAGTGTGGGGATTTGAAAACCAAATGGCTTCAAATAAATAGCTTCCTGCAAGTGCATTGACAACAATAAAAGATTACTCATCAGAAAACTGAATAATTTAGGGAGCACGTGATGGTGATAAATGAAAAAAAGGGGCCAAACTCAGTAAAATAAAGGTCTACAGTTATTTTTTTTAATATTTTTATAATGTGATCAGAGAGTTTAAATTTAGAGTTGGTTTGGGAAGTGGCTTTTTTAATGACTTTTTGGCTAAAATATAAGCTGAAAAAAACTAATATGTTTGGGAAGAATTTTTTGACATTTTACAAAAAATCATGCAAAAAGTCAAGTGAAAGGGAAGGAATCTTTGACTTTTTGTATGAGCTGATGGCTTCTTGACTTTTTGGATTTTTTAGTGACTTCTTAACTTTTTGGCTAAAATAATATGTTCCCAAAGGGACCCTTAGTTGGATTTCAATCAACTGGTCAAAGAGCAAGAATCTTTCAGGGGCCAATGAGACATCCTCATCATGGTCATGTCATCCATGCCATATTCTTTGTCAAAGAATAGTGAAGAATGAATGATTAAGAAGATAACTGAAGAATAGAAAAGGCTGCAACACAACTTCATTTTTGTTGGTTCCCCAGAATATAACATACTATTATCATCAACAAGCATGGAACATAAATTGCACCACAAATTTTACTATTTTTATCAAGTATCAACAGTAACCTATATTAAAAACCATGAAGTCTAATTGACATAATTTTCAACAGAATGGAACTCTTTCTCTTTTCTGTAATGATTTAGTTTGAGGCTAAATACCATCTATAACTTCAGTGAACCAAACAACACCCACCCACCCAAAAAAAAAAAGACGAGAAAAAGTATGTGATGCTACATTCTAGACCATAAAAGATTAGACAGCAACACGATAAGCTTCACTACAATAAGTCAGATACATCTGCTTATCCGTGTCTAGACACAGAATACCCAGAATAGCACAAAACTGATGTGAGGGGTATGCCCAAATGGTGTAGACACACTTAGGAGTGGAGGCCCATGCAAACAACAAAAATGACACTCAAGATGTCCGTGTTCTACTTCAGTGCATAGTTGTCAAATCGGGATTCATATCGTGAATCGAAATGGTCTCATACTGAGTCACAAATCAAATCGAATCGTGAATTGTAAAGATTCAGTCACTTTTTCTACATTACTTAAAAATATATATCTACACATTTAGATATTAAATATATCTTATGAATATAAAATATTTAGACTCAAATCAACAAAAATGTTATTTTGAATGATAATCACGTAGTTTAATAGGTAAGAAGTTAACAAAGGTTCCTATGTAAGATCACCATCTTACCTTTTTTTCTTTTTAAGATATTTTTTATCAACCATTCTTAGTAAAGATAATAACCAAATAGACAAACTATCAATTTCTAAAGTAACAATAATTAACAACGATATTGATATCTGGACAATAAGCAAATATACTTTTCTAAGTAACAGTGAGCAAATAATAAGAAAGAATTATTTAGAATATTTTATTTTAAAGCCTAAAAGGTTTTAAAAGGTATAATTGACCTCACACATGTAATATTCAATTTAATAAAATAGTAATAGATAATTCATAATATAACTTTAATCTTAAACATCTTTAGAAGATATATTATAATTTTTTGAAGGGGAAAAAAATGAGAAGAAAGGTTAAAAATATGTTGGGATTAACTGAATCTGATTGGATCCTATTAAAAACTCCATGATCACTAAATAACAACAAATCATGTATATATGTTGGTTATTTTGGTATTAAACACTATTAGAAGTTGTATTATGTTATTTTCATTAAAAAGATGGGAAAAAAAAAGAGTCAAAAATATGTGAAACACAATAATTTCAAAAATTGCATGAATCGTAAAGAGTGAATCGAATTGTGAATTGATTGTGAATCGTGAGATTCACTAGAGATTCACTTCCAAAGTAGATTCACTCATAGATTCGTATCGATTTTGCAAAAATTGCGAATCGAATCGCGAATCGTAAGATTTTGATAACAAATTTTCACTTTAGTGCACTATCCATGCCATACTTTTTCTTTCTGAAATAATGGAAAACGACAAGAACTCTCAACTGTGTACTATAATGTCCTTTTCATCTTTATAATGTTTTTGGTTTTCCTAGGGAATGTAAAGAGATGCAAAAGCTTCAGTAGGCAACAGCACTGAATGATAAAACCTACACAAACAAGGCACCTGAAGTTGCCAGCATGTATGAGCCCACTGATTATCCAACACAGGTCAGGCTTGATATGAACTCCAAGACTTAGTATCTCTATAAGCAAGGTTGAGCAATACTGGTCAAGCTATAACAATCTAACATGTTAAATGATGCACAGAAAAAGAAAAACATCTTAAGAAATGGTAGTTGGTAACCATAGAAACTAACCCCTTAGAAATAGTTTGTTTTAGGGCAAGAAAAGGCTGTAGGTTTTGGGTTTAATATGCTAGAAGGAATAATATGGGGTTTTGGACATGTAAAGGAATTGAATTTTGTTTCCATTTCAACAAGGTCAGATTGCTGGATTTTCAGAAACTAGCTGCTGGAAGTCTCTAAACAGCAATCTTTCTAAGGTATTTCGGTGTGGAATTAATGCCGAAGGATGAGGAAAGTTGTTAGGGCTGATTTAAGTTCAATAGGTTGTGGGGCTAAATTTGGGACTGTTCTAGGGTTGTGAACAGTAACACTGAAACAGTGATTCTGCTATTTTTGCTCAAGAGGAGTAAAAGAATAACAAATACTTAACCTTTGCAAAGGTCAAGATAAATCACACAAACACAATATCAAATTGTCATGATTGACTTATCTGTTGAATAGAACCAGTACATAGATATTTTAACCATTACAAGTAGGGTATTCAATATTAATGTATGTGCGCTATTTGTCGATATATCAACCCTTTTACATCATTTCGAATATCCAAGATTGTTTATAGCCAATGTTAAACAACATGCTTGATATATCAACCTTTTTATAATGACCATTTGTGTTTGATTGGGGGGATAGGGGGGGGACTATCCACTGTTTGGACTCCATGTCCGGCCTCCCTCCTTATCCGTCGTTTGATTTTTTTTTAGTCCGGCGGACTCCATGTCCGGCCGGACTCCATGTCCCCCATATGGGGGACTATCCTATCCTGGGGGGGGGGGGGGGTTGTTTTGGGGGGGCTCCCCCATATGGGGGACTATCCTGTCCTGGGGGGTGGGACAGAAAGTGGGGGACTAATCACTGTTTGGATTATATGCGAAAATGACCATTTTGACCCTCTACTATTTAATTATGTATTTTATTTAATAAAATTTAATAAAATTTAAATGTCTCAATTTAAAAATAAAATAATTTTATTTAACTTTTTATTAATGTTTTATTTATTTAATTTTTTATAGATATTTTATTGATGTTTTATTTTAAAATTTTGTTTATGTTTTATTTAATTTCATTGTTTAAATTTAATAGATGTTTTAATAGATGTTTTATTTAAACAATTAAATGTTTAATTTCAACAATAAATAATTTCATTTATTTAAATTATGTTTTATTTAAACATTTAAACATTTGTACATCAACATGTTTATTAAATTATTTCAACATCTGTACATCAACATGTATATTTATTTAACATCTATTAAATTATGTTTTAATACGTCAACATTTGATTACATCTACATTTGTTGATTGTTAATTACATCAACATTTGTTAATTGTTTAAACATAATCTGTACATCAAAATAATTTCAATGTTAATTGTTTAAATAAAAATTTAAACATTTAACCATTAGTATGTTTAATTTCAACAATAAATTTTTATTTGTTTAAATAAAAATAATCTATACCAGTCAAATTTTTTTATCAATATTAGTATGTTTAAATATCTTTAAACAAAATTTAACCATTAGTATGTTTAATGTTTACTAAAAATAATTAAAATATTAAAGATATGTTTAATATTGCTATTACATAGTAAACAATTGAAAAAGGGTAAAATAGTCTTTTGTTCATTTATCCTATCCAGTCCGTCCAACCAAACGTTGAATTCACTGAAAATAGTCCTATGCAGACATCTAATCCCATGAAAAAACAAACACAGGATACATATCCAATCCGACCAAATAGTCCGGGGGATTCACAGTCCCAGGACTCAAGTCCGATGGATTCTAATCCCCCCTTTTCCAGTCCGTCCAATCAAACACACCCAAAGAGTCTAGACTCTCAAAATGCTAATCAACTTATTTTTCATGTTGATTGCAATTGCCTCATATTGCGATTTAACTCACATAAAGACAACTGATGATAAGGTTTTCTTTTCTTTTTTTTGGTTTAGATAGGGGATTATAAAACAATACAGCAATTGAACACCTTGATCAACAAAGAACAGACAACGTAGATTTCTCATTTTAATCTCATTTGATTAATATGGGCTGACGAAAGCTGACATAGCAACTTGACCTTAAGTGCAAGGGGTTAACTATTGCAATTGAAAAATGACGGACTAAAGTGGGATTTAGGGTGAATTGTAAGGGTGCATAATGTATTTAACCCAATGATGAAAGATATCTTCAAAGTCGCATCCTTTTGGTTTAAGTAAATGTGTAGAATATTTTCTTAATAATTCAGCTTCCTAAGACTTCTTTATTTTGATTTATTCTATATAGTTCATGCAAAGAAGTTAGGATAGCTTTAGCTCGGTTGGCTATTTTCGATTAACAAAATCTTCGGGGTCTGTAATTTTTTGGGGCTTTGGGTTGGTAGGATATTCTAATTGTATTAGTGAGATTGAGTTCACCACATGAAAGACGTTCTTCGGCAAGTGAAGCTGTCATCGGTTTCATTACTACCAGGAATATGACCCTTCTGAACCCTTGCACGTCCCCATTTTGTATCTCACTTTCATCTAAGCAATAGCCCATCTTATATATCTGATCAAGCCACATTTTCTTAAGTTTTTGTAAAGTTCTTTGGCTGTTGCTTGACAGGACTCAAGCCCTTTGGGCTTGAG